ACATTACGAACAACGCGTTAAAATGTGTCGAGTCCAAAGGAGAACATCTGGACCATTTATTGTTCTTGGAATTTCAGAATTTTAAATATATATTTTAAAACTCTGTAGGAGAAAAGGATACAGGGATGGAAAGATTAAATTTAAAAAAGAAAAGAAAAGGAAAAAAAACCGAACCATCCCATGACTTCCTTCACAAAATCTTTTAAATTTGTACATTTTGCATTTATTGGAGGTTTTTTAATAAAAGCCATTTCCATTTCGAAAATAGTTTCTTCTTTGTGGATTTTATGTCAAACAAATTCCTTTCGAATGAATATTATATATTCCAAATTACAACATTCTAGTACAAAGTTTGTGCGAAATATTATGTTCTCTTAGTATCTATTATGTTCTCTCAGTATCGTTTATTCATGCTGTTCTATTCTGTAAGAATTTATAACTGTGAATTCATCTATGTGTGCGAGGGTGTCTGGGTATGGTTTGTGGGATTGTCTTTACTCAAGGATGTACTGCAGAGAGAGAGAGAGAGAGAGAGAGAGAGAGAGAGAGAGAGAGAGAGAGAGAGAGAGAGAGAACGAGAGAGAGAGAGAGAGTGAGAGAGAGGGGGGGAGATAGACAGAGTGAGAGAGAGAGAGAGAGAGAGAGAAAGAGGATTGCTATAGGAGCTCTCCTGTGCGCTGCATGTTCTTTGTATTATTGTACAGCGCATTAAGCACATTTTTGAGGAAGTGCGCTATATAAATGCAATTTATTATTATTATTATTATTATTATTATTATTATTATTATTATTATTATTACTATTATTATTATTATTATTATTATTATTATTATTATTATTATTATTGTTGTTGTTATTGTTATTATTATTATTATTATTATTATTATTATTATTATTATTATTATTATTAAAATTATTATTATCATTATTATTATTATTATTATTATTATTATTATAGATATTCAGAAAAAAAGCTGTACAGGTTTTTTGGATAACCCTGTATATTGTAAAGGGCATAAGGCTTGCTGTTGAGAGGGAATTAGCGCTATACAATAATGACTATCTATCTATCTCTCTGTCTCTCTATCTCTCTCTCTCTCTATCTATCTATCTATCTATCTATCTATCTATCTATCTATCTATCTATCTATCTATCTATCTATCTATCTATCTGGAGCCTTTAGACTTTTAAAATATGGCAAACGTTTCTCTGCCAGAATTGGTCTGTTGGCCACAGCACAAGCCACAAGTCATCGCAACCTTTTGTTTTTCAAGTTCTTCTATTTCGCTGGAGAAATATTCTCCTCTTCGGTTGTATTGGTCATCAACAAACATTGACGATTAGTATCATCCTCATCATCCTCATCATCATCATCCTCATCATCATCATCATCATCATCATCATCATCATCATCATCATCATCATCATCCGGAGCAGAGAGAGCACCCCTGAACGTCCATCATCGACGAGCTCGTCTCCAGTGGGCTCAGATCAGAACCACGTTAACTGGCGTCATTGACAGTGGCACCGTGTGATCTTCAGCGACGAGAATCGCTTCTGCATCGATCCTGACAATAGGCGGGTCCGAATTTGACGCCGCCCCGGACAACGCTACTTAGACGAGAACATCTGGGAGAGAGACCCGTGGGGAGGTCAAAGCGTGATGATATGGGGCGCAATCGGTATCAATCAAAGACTCAAACCTGTATCTCTAAATAAAAATATTTCTTCTGTTTACTCTCTTTTTCTTGTGTCATGTGAATTCGCATTACTTTTGCCGGTAAGTATATGGTTGGATTAATGTTTTCTACGATTTCCAGAGGGTGGGAATTACGTTTTCACACCTCAAAACAAAAATAAAAGTATAGATTTTTTGATGTATGCTGTGTCAAAGTTTTGCCTCTCAAAAATAGTATTTGATAGATCAACATGAGACACACAGTCCGAAGTCTCCCCTCTTCGTTCGACAGTTTCCCTCACGTTTGTCTAATGTCTCCCGCAGAGAGGGGTGGTTTCGGATATCTTATGGTATCCTAGACATGATACTTTGGTGGTAAAACGTGAAGATGCACGAAGCTGATATCGCAAAAGTTGATACCCAAATGTTTTACAATAATAGTGAAAACATCTTTCTCAGGCTTAAATTGTTCCCAAAGCGAGCAGTGAAGCCTAACGTAAAAAGAATCCGAAGCTTCCCCGCTTTCCCCTATTCATGTTTGTATAAACATAATATAGAGTCATAGTCACCCTGAGGTGGACGCTGGAAAGGAGAGATGAGCAGCTTTGGACGTGTGCCGCCTACTATGATTCTAGCTCTGGATCCAAGAAAATCCAAGTAAATTCAAGAGTCATAGTTACTTACTGGTTTCAGTAGCACTCGTGTAACAGCTCTGTTAGAGCACCCTTTAATAAACAGCACGCCTGTCAATTACGAGTTTACTTACCCGGCACACAAAAAATGGTAGCTACTTAATTGCACTCGAGTAGACTCAGCCCCCC